CCCTGCTGCCAGCACAGTGACCAGCATTCCCACTGGAAAACACCTGCCCTTCCAGCCTGGCCATCAGCTCCAGTGGGAATGGTGGGTGCCAGATGCCAAACACCAGCAGTGGGAGAGAGCCTGGGAGAACATCCTACACCTGCAGCTCCTGGTCCTCCTCCTGCTCCTGCTGGGAGCCTTGGCCACAGCCCGTGTCACCTTCGGCTGGAGAGTCCTCCCACCTCCTCAACATGGGCTCTGCAGCAGCCCCTTCTCACAGCGTGTGGTCACCACTGTCCTGCACCCCTCCCAGACCTTCCAGCGCCTTCCTTCCCTTCCCTCCTTTCTGCAGCTCCCTCCACTCCAGAGCAGCACTCTTTCTAGCAGAAATATCTCAAAAACCAGCACTGTGATTCCTGTATTATAGTCAGGGCCATCTTCAACCCTGACCCCGTGCACCAAATGGCCCGTGGCCAGGACCAGCACTGCACACACCCCTCGGGGGTCGAGGGGCTCCCCACAGCCCAAAGCACACACAGAAGAGTGACAAACACCACAAACCCAACACACGCCCCTCGGGGGTCGAGGGGCTCCCCACAGCCCAAAGCACACACAGGAGAGTGACAAACACCACAAACACAACACACACCCCACGCCCGGGGTGCCCTTAAAGGCCACACCAGAGTGGTGACATCCACAGCAGTTGGGTAAGGTCAGACTCTTGGGGAAATCAGACAATCCCTCAGGACCACCCAAAGCCAGCAAAACAACACCATTAATCCCATTTTGCAATCCTATTCTGAATGCACTGTTCATTGACTGACTAACCAAGAATAGAAGCTGACACACGTTGCCATGTGTGAACCAAAGGCAGCACATCTGGCAGCACCCAGCAGTTTCACAACATGGAGTAGTTATGGTCCAAGCTGTGTAAATAAAATAGTACTTATAGGCAGCAAAAAAAAAAAAAAAAAAAGGAAGGATTTTTTTCCCCTCCAATGGAACAGACATTCTCACACACAGCCCTTTACTTTTGATTCATAATGAGCACTTTCAGGTTTCCAAAAGCTCTGAACTCTGTGTGTGCAAGTTTCTAGGCTACTCAGGGGGGTAAATTACATGTTCTTTCCAAGGCAGTAAGAAAATCTATTTCATTAATAGGGGTCTCTAGTCAGCTCTACAGAATACTTTTAAACCATTTCAAAAACACACAATTTGGGCTAGAGCCTAAAATTAAGTTTCTCCAGCTTCAACCGTGACTACAGACCCCACTCACAGGGGAGTGGGGGCAGAGATCACAAGCTCTGTCTCCCAGATCTTAAATATGGCCCGAAAATCCTGTGAGACACAAGTCTACAACTCAAAGAGCCTTCTGGATCTGACCCACAGCTGCTCAAACCAGCCTGTTCCACACTGAGGGCACGAGGTGAGTTCTGCAGAGAAAACGAGAGCGAGGGATGTGCAGGGCATGGTTTATCAAAGGGAGGTCCTTCAAGGCAGCAGCACACAGAGCATTTTCTCAGCCCTGCTGTGACATCCCACTGACAGGGGAAGCTCACCTTGAGCTGGGGCAGAAAGTATCCCAGTTAAACCAGTAGAAGCCCAAAAAGGAATCCAGGTTAACACATTAAAAAAAACCAATTTCAGCAAACTCATCCTGCACTTTGAGACTTTCTCCTGCTAATGCAAAATACTGCAATGAAATCCCTGCCCACAAGAAGGAGGGTGTAAAAAACCGAGATCCAGGTTGAATCTGTCCTTAAAGATGTGTATTTTCAGACATTGTAAAAACAAACAGACAAAAACCAACCAAACAAAGAACAAACAAACAAAAAAACCCTACTCAAATGAACAGCCAGTTCCTGTCCCCCAGGGCACCAACCAGACCCTGCTCTGACAGGGCATTGCCACCTGCAGCTCTGCCACGGGAATTCAGGCACCAAAGCACACACACTGCCCTTTGCCCCCCGAGATCCTCACCCTGCGGATCATCTCCTGTTTTCCAGGCACTCCTGGTACCTTTACAACAAAACCCCTTGGTAACTACCCACAGTCACAGCATCCCAGAATGGTTTGGGTTAGAAAGGACCTTAAAGCCCACCTGGTTCCAAACCCCTGCCATGGGCAGGGACACCTTCCACTAGCCCAGGTTGCTCCAAGCCTGGAGAAGAGCTGAAGGACAGGTTTGTGTCCCAGCAGGACACAAAGGTCCTGCCTCGCCTGGCAGGGATGGGCACCACACTGGACCTTCTCAGGGCTTCTCCTCCTCCAGGAGAGTCACTCCTGCCTAAAAACAAGTTTTTCATGCCCACACGCTCCACTTTCAAACTAGAATCTGCATAATGGAGACAGACAGGTTGGCAGGGAAGTGGGTAGATATATAACATATATATACACCTAAAGAGATAGATAGATAGATAGATAGATAGATAGATAGATAGATAGATAGATAGATAGATACGAAGAAATAGATAAATTTATAAGGAGTTTGATATAGAAAAATAGAAATAGATTGATAGATAGATAGATAGATAGAAAGAGATAGAGATAGATAGAGATAGTTATGAAAAAAGAGAGAGAGGCACACAAACCACATTGGCACTGTTACATTTCTGACTGACATGAGTTCTCCCAAATGTTTAGAGCAAAGGGCTCGGGATAAGAACTCAGTCATTTTTTGGGGGGTACTGAAATACAAAACTAGAGGGTTTGCAACTGCCAGTTGAAGCACTGGGATGACAGATGTGCCTCCACTGCTCCTCCAGAAATAGCAGCTTTAACCTAAGATACCAGCATCCCAGCTTGGAAAAAAACCAGCATGGTGCTTTATTTCTGAGCATAACCACAATTAGGGTGTCCCTTCTGTAGTCAACTGAAAGAAAAGCACTTAAATAATCCTTATTCCTACCCCATAGGACAGGTGAGGTTGGGTACCAGGGTTCAGCAAGAGGTGACAGTGCCCAAGGCTTGCCCTCCCATATTTATATGACATAGCAACAGCCTTTCAAATTCCATTCAGAACTATACAACAGCAGCTTAAATTCAAGTTATAATTGTAAATTATGTATTACTTTGTACATTTTTACCTGTAACATCTCTCACTGATGTAAGTAGAAAAAGGTATCCACTGATAAAGTAGTACATGTCACAGGTTTTTCAAAAAAGCCTGGATTAAACACAAATCTTGGAAAGAAGAGTCAAAAATATTAAACCTAAAAATAGTGTAAATATTTATTTTTAAAAAGCACTGAATCAACTTCATTACACAACTTTGGACCTGGCAGACTCACACACTGCACGTTTTCCATTGTGTGTGGAGATGTGGAGATGCTGGAAGGCCTCAGGCAGGGCAGAGGCTTTGTTATTCCCTTGCAAGACCCCAGATAAGAGCTCCTCATGATTCCTAATTCACCAGTGCTTCAGGTACCATCTTTCCAACATCCAGCCTAATGCCAGTTCAAATCACAAGCTCCCTGAAGACAGTCCAGCCCATAAAATCTGTGAGGTTACAAGTTCTCTTCAGACACTTCATAGAATCACAGAATCATGGAATCACAGAACATCCTGAGTCGGAAGGGACACACAAGGATCATTGAGTCCAACTCCTGGCTGTGCACAGGACAGACCAAGCACCCCACCATGTGCCTGAGAGCACACCTTCACATCCCCCTTTCATCTTCACATTTAGTGCTCATGGGACCCAAGGGCAGTGTGTGGGAGACCTTTACAAGATGCAAGAAATTCCCTCTCCCTCAGAGCTGCAGTTTAGATTTTCCTGTCTGAAACAAGCTGGGACAAAACCAGCTGCTGTTTTACTGACGAGCTGGCTGCCCTGGCCATGGCCCCTGCCCAGTGTGTCCCCACCCTCGGGTGTCACAGCAGCGCTCACGAGGCACTCACCCAGGGGCAGGCGGAGGGTGATGTTGTTGCAGAAGTCGGTGTAGCAGCACTCAGTCTTGGTGATGTTCTTGGAGCTGTGGCAGAAGACCTGGGCGTTGAGCTCCGGGAGGGACACGCAGGACTTGACCACCTCCTCGCGCCCGTTGGTCAGCATGACCGAGGCCCAGCAGGCGCCCTCCGTCTGGCAGGTGAAGTTGGTGTGTTCACACAGCTGGCACACGCACTGCAGGCCTGCAAAACAGGGGCCAGTGGTTGGGAGAGGCCCCTGGGACAGCAGCCCCCCAGGACAGAGGCCCCTGGGACAGCAGAGCCCCATGGCCCAGCCTGCAGGCTGGTCGAGCATGAGTGCTCCAGGAGAGCTCCGGCACGGGGCCATGCCAGCACTGATATCAGCAAACGGGCTCCTGGGCTGCAGGAGGAGGCCAGTCCCAGAGATCCCCAGCAGCACAAGTCCCCAACACTCACACATGACAAGTTGTTTAATCTTGGCCCCAGGGAATTTTATAGATATCATCTGTCTTGCTCGGTGGAGAAGACTGACCACCACAAAAAGCAGTTCCTGTGAAAGCTGCCTCTTGCTGAGCTGGAGAGACAGAGGTTTGGGTTTATGTTCTCAGCTCTCACCACTCCAGACAACACCTCAGACAATGCTGAGGACAAAGACATGGGCACAGGCTCCGTTTGACCTGTGCATTTAGACACAGCCACATTCATTATACCAAGTGTTAAACACTCCCAAGGGCTCCTGGTGAGGAAGCTGTTGCTGACTCCCAGTGACACAGCCCCATCCCAGCCACCTGCCCACACCAGCACCACCCCATCCTGCCAGAGCCAACGGGGGGAGAGCACCGAGCTGGGGGATCACCAAGACACAGCCCCCGGCACCCCACGATGGACACGGGCAGAACGACAGACCCTTCCTCCCCATCCTCCTGAGATGGGGCACCCTGTCCAGGCACCCTTCCTGGGTCAGCTGTAACTCTGCCAGACTGAACCCTGCTCTACTTAGAAGAGCAGTTTTATCCATAACCCATTTGGGACTGGGGGAGGGGGGATGAAACGAGGGTTTCTTTCATTTCAGTATAACAGACTTGAAAAGCAAAACACGGGTTAGTAGTGGACTTGGCAGTGCTGAGGGAATGGTTGGGCTCAATTATCCTAGAGGGCTTTTCCAACCCAACCTATTCCATGGTTGTGTGATCTCAGAGTCCCTGGAGGAGCACAGAAGTCCTGACAGACGTCAGCATGACTCTGATTTCTGTTTCTGTGACAGTCTTTGTTTTCTTTACAACAATCTCCATCCTGTGCCACCCTTCTCAAATCACAGCTTGTGGCGTTTATCTTCAGCTTGGGCCCACAACAAACTGCCTTGGCACCATATGTCCATGTTTATCCTGGTGAGGGTGTGGCAGGAGCTGCTGCCTCAGCTCTCCCTTGGCACCAGAATGAGCACCATCTATCACCCCCAGCACAGCAGCTGAATCTCTCTTAAAGACATTACCCTGCTCCTAGAAGAGCTGCCAGGAGCAAGACTCATCAGATTCAAATAAATTAGAGATCTAGCAGGAAGAAAACAGACACGTCATCACCAAAACTGCAAAATAAAAGCATTATTGAGGAAAGGAGTCTGATATTGTTGCAAGTTCTTCGAGGATTCAGACACGTCATTACGCTGTTTTTCTCTCCTTCTCACAGCCTAAAAATAAAATAGGAAATTATGATGTCATCCACAGTGGATAACTGACAGATTTATCCATATTCTGTATTTTGCAGATTGCTTCAGAGCAGACCTGATCAAAAACCTGTTCCTGCATGTCCTGAGCACCTCCAGGGTGGCTCCTCTGAGCCCTGTGAACATGAGAGAGATGAGGATGGATGAAGGGCTCTGTATCCTCACCCTGACCAAGCCAGGACAGTCACTGCCAGAATGTTAAGGCTCTGCATCACTAAATGCTGCCCTCACAGAGGGAAAAAAAATCAGGAAAACTGTAGCTAAATTTATTCAGAGACAAGACCAGAGTTGGAGTTTTGGGAAGGATGAGATGCTTTCCTCCCAGAAGATTTACACAGATCACTTTAAATATAATTCTACAAAAGCAGAAGCCCTGGGTTCCCTAGATCCCTGCCTGTGCTGCTGACTGCCTTCTGGTGTAGAAAAATGGATAGAAATACCACACCACACACAAACCCCTGACAGTGTTTCCAAGAGCACTTGTGTCCTTCCAGAACCCTTTGTTAGTAGAGCAGAAAGATTATCTTAAAATATAACTATGAAAGGATGGGTGTCTTGCACCTGTGCTACTTCAGCTGACTCCCCACTGTGGAATCAGAAGGGGAGCCTGGGTCCTTGTCAACATGCCCTTGGGAAGATCCATGCTTTTCCTTGGGAAAGCTTTTCCCACTCCCCATCCTGCTGAACAGGGGAGGTAACAAACCCCCTCAGCTCTCACCCAGTGTCACACCCCTGCTGTGCCCCACCCGTGGCTCCTCAGACACCCGTGCAGCAACTCCAGCTCTGCCAAGCCTGTATCCCCATCCCTGCTGACGTGCCCAGGGACACAGCACCCGCCAGAATTTGTGCCTTATCTGTGCTGCTCCACCAGGAAAGCCTCAGTGCTGCTCCTGGTTATTCGTGACAACTTCCTCCACTGGAAAAACTTGTCCATGTATAACCCACCCCTTCCCAAGGAAGTCCTGGCAGTTCCATCAGTGATGCACCCTCACAGGAGGAAAGCTGGGACTCCCACCATCCTGGAAACCAGGGAATGGAATAAAGTGACTGTAAGGGGCTAAAGGAAAAGGGTCAAAGGGGCAGGATGAAAATGTGCTCCTCAAGTTTCAAAATAAGTCACTCTTAATCTGGTAATGAACACAACTCCTTTATTTACTCAAGCACAACAATTCCCTTAAAACATTCCATTCTCTGTTAAGAAATTAGGAGAAAGTGAACGACTGAAACACTCCACGGCTGCAGAGGCCTATGCCAGGTACCCAAACCTGGCCACCAATGGTCCCAGTTCTCTGAGCTTGGAACTCTCCAGCAGTCATAATAAATTTGTCCTGGCCTTCCCCAAAACCCAGCAACCCCAGCGGGACCATGGGTGAGTTGTCCCACCAGGACTGGCTGCAGAGCTGAGGCAGGGCCAGGGCAGAGCAGGGCAGGACACACGGTGGGCTCCCTTCCACAGGGACAGGAGTTGGGACAGGCTGAAGGACAGAGGTGTGCAGGGCCACATCCCTTCCTGTGGGCAGCTGGCACTCCACAGGACCCCACAAACAGCAGGAGAAACCAAGAGCCAGCCGAGGTGGCAGGGAAGGATTCCCACATCAGCAGACACACAAGGAAAGCAATTTTTGGATACAGGGACCCCAGGAACAGGTGTTCCCTGCGGCTGGCATTTTTAAGACATAAGTGGTTTTCAAGGATGGTTTTTCTGCTGTTATTGCCATAGAAGCTGAGACTACACACCAGATTTTTGGATGAGCCCCACTATGAATCAAGGACAGCATGACTTGCTCTTCAGAGCAGAAAATAACCTGCCTGACTTACCTAAAAAGCAACATTTTCTGCCTTTTAGTTTTTGGTGCAACTGCCAGAAAACACCCAGGACAGGCAGACACATTGTGCAATGACCTTATAGAGCAGGAAGAATGGAACCAGCCCCCAATTCCCAACAAACTAACACAAAGGTGCCAACAGAAGATGGGTTTGTGTGCTTCCATCCCTTTTCTATCATGTCAGCTTCAGCTACATGCCAACTAGATAGCCAAGGAACAAGAGTGATCCTACATGTGAACAGCAGATGGAAGAATAGGAGCTTAAACACCAGCTTCATGAAAGCAGCAAGCAATTAAAACATGTGGGCAGACACAGTGCAACCTCAAAGTTTAAATGGAAAGAATTGAGTGTACAGCTGGCACAAGGTGACTGATCCACAGGGCTGATGGAAAGAACCGAAAGCTCTGCAGGAGCATAGTCAGACCCACTCAAGGTTCTACCAGAAACCTTGTATGCCAGAACCCACAAGGCTCTACCTTCCAACAGACTCTTTTACTACACAGATTACCAGGGCATTAATCTTCCATTAAATCATAATCCAGCACTACCAACCATAACTAAAGTAGAGCATTTAAAAATTAAATGGGAAAGCAAATATCTAAATGGCCCTGCAGCAATTAATTGTCTTTCTGGATGGAGCTTGGAGCAACCTGATCTAGTGAAAGGTGTCCCTGCCCATGGCAGGGGGTTGGAATGAGATGGACTTTAAGCTCCCTTCAAACCCAAACCAGTCTGTGATTCTGTAATGGGAGGAAGGGCTGAATATCCAGAACATTTCCATCCTTGATCATTCTGTACTGTCATTCTATATTGTACCCTTCTAGATACACTTTCATTTTATTCCCAGATAAGAGATCTGGGAATTAATGTGTGTGTGGGCTTTCCACACTGCCTGGGTCCCCTTCCTCAGCTGCAGACCCAGTGCCAGGACACAGCTGCCGGAACAGGATGAACAGTATACCCACCCCTAGCCAGAAATCTAGCCCACACCGGTGCATCAGTAGACCTTGCCATCTTCTCCCTCCCCCAGGCCACCTTTGCTGGGCAGGGACGTTCCCACACCTCAGGACACACACCTGGACCTGACCGACCGCACACTTCACTCCTGGGAGGGTTCCAGGTGACAAACGTTTCACTGTTGAACAAAGGGGCTCAAAGGAGACCCTAAAAACCACAGATTGGATGTTTCCCATTGTCCAGCCCGTTGCTGGTGATGGAGCCAGGACAAAAACTGGAGCAGGCGCTGGTGAAGGTGCCACAGGGTGGGTGTGGGTCTGGTACAGACCCCTGTTCTCCAACTGCTGGGAACTGACCAGGGCAAACTCTGCTGCCACCAGGCAGAGCCACTCTGATCTCCACCAGAGTGGCCTGTTTGTCTGGCAGCAGCTGAGGGATGAGGCAGAGGGAACCAGCAGCCACGTGGTACGAGGCTGTGGCACAGGAACAGGGGCTGAGTGCTGCTGAGGGAGGGGAAGCAATAAGAAAGCAAAAGGGGTTGCTGAGGATAGACAAAGTAGGACTGACTTCAGAGCATTGCAAAGCAATCTTACCATGGAATCACAGAATTGTTTGGGTTGGAAAAGCCCTCTGAGACCATCCCCCAGCACTGCCAAGGCCACCACTAACCCACATGCCCAAGTGCCACATCTACACAGCTGTTACATCCC